TATATGTGTGCTGTACGTGATCACATTCGCCACACTGCTCGTAAAAAGACCACCCCAGCACGCTTTTCTCACTTTTTTCTACGGCTTCTTCTCTCTCTCCCTCTCTCTCTCTCTCTCATCCTTCTTCTTTGCTCTTATTCGCACTCACAAACTATGCGCAGCGACGCGGTCGCATGCATACGGCACGGGAAGTACTCGCGTTATGTACCGACAAACTCGAATCGAGTACGGTTTACGATCGGTTTATTTGCGAGCGGCTCGTGAGACGCTTCCAGGAAGAAGGATGCCACGAACGACACTCTTTCCTTTGCTGTTTACATTTTTCTTTTTTCATTGTTTCTCTTCATTTCCACTCGTTCGTTATTTTCTCTTTTCTCAGAACTTAAGATCGAATCCTTTTATTCTTCCCTATTATTAATCATTTTGAACAATTTTTTAATGTTCAATGTATGTATATTTTGAAGATAATTGATTTTCAATAGTTATAGATTTCAATGTTAATGTAGATATAGATCATGAGAGATTTCTTTACAAGGCCGTCCTATCTTTTTAATTCCCGTATGAGTAGGTAATATTTTAGTAGAAATTTTTAATTAAAAATAAACAGATTTAATGATATATATATATATATATATCTTTTTTTTTACATTGCTTAAAAATAAATATTAAAAGTTCCACCCTTTGTTATACAATCCTCGTACGTAAACAAAGTATCTAAAAAAGATTTATTTTTATTACAAAGTCCGCGTATTATAAAAATATTCTATGAACTAAGAATACACGTGAAAAAACAATGGACACTGTTTCATTAACCTTATATTATAATTATGTTACAAGAAAATGCGGTGAGATTAATTTGTGAGGAGACGTTGGATAAAGCGTATCAGTTTGCTGGTTTGTTAAGCAAACTGCTTACGTTTCTGGATGCAAAAGAAGAAGGACGAGGTTGCAGGATAGCGCACGGTTAAAAGAAAGCTCGTTACACTGTGACAAGTGCCCGGTATCCTCATAATTATCACATCCAACGTAATTACAGAGAACGTGCCTTATCCTAACCTAACCAACTCCGTGGTCGTAAACGACTACGGCGCAGGAACGTCTCTTTTACTTTGCTAACGCTTAACGCCGTCACACAATTGGAAATATCCTTAAAGAAATTACTGTCCCCTCGCTTGCGCACGCTACTAAATTAAGAATTTCTACTGAAAATTATTATTTACTTTTAATTATCTCCATCTAAAAGTTGACGTTTCTCATTCATCATACTTCATTATATTTAAAAAGTACATTTTCCTCAGATGCAATAACAGAAAGCTTTTGGTATGTGTAAGATCGAGTGTTTTAATTTTGCCTTCCATTGTCGGTTTTTTTTTTTCGTATTTGTTTGAGAAGGAAGTAATAAGAGAGAAAATCGAATGGTCTGATGAGTGCGATCGTATGAAATTTTTTTTCTTTCTTTAAGATCGCCATCATCGTCGTCGACGGCGTTCAAAGGATTAGCTACCTGGAAGAATAAAAATCTCTTATGAATAGACGAATCGGTCGACAACGATGACGACGTTTCTCTTCCTGCGAACTTTCCCCCTCTTTCTTTACTGCGATCACCTCCACCATCACCAATCCGCCATCTTCGCGAGCTCACTTTCCTCTCGCTCCTTTTCTCTCCTTTCTATTTCTCTTCGTACGAGGCAGACGTTAATTTTCTGGTTTAATAACCGGGCCGCGTTTATTAACGAAGCTGTCCCGAAAGCGGGCCAAGCGTGAACTCCGGTTATTTGTTTCTTAATTAGAAAGAAAACTTTGACTCGCTCCGAGGCGACGATTATCGTTCCCAACTCCCATTAGAACTCGTTAACGCGGTATTGGAACGATACGTCTCCCGGGACGACGACCCATCGGCCTTACGTTTAATAACATCGTCCAAGAATCTACCGTGGCCTTCGATATGCTTCTGCTATTCGTTATCTGTAGAAAAAAATAATAATTAACTTTGATTTTAAATTAATGCGATTGCAGATATATATTAAGTATAGATTTTTAAAAGTCATCTATACATTTTTAACACGACAAAGGAAGTAATAAATAATAAATTTGTCTATCCATATTATAATATTTAAACGATTTTATTATATCAATTGTAAAGTTGAAACATTGATTTAAAGATTTCTAATTTTATTTCTTCACTACTTCTTTTTTCTTTTTTTTTATTAATATCTACTTTATCATAACACATCCACACAATTAAAAAAATTTAAATAACAATGTAATTACTTATCATGTAATTTTTTCATATCGTCAATTTTTAATTCATCGTCTGATACATTAATATCATTTTGTTGCGGAATGTGTAAACGACATTTGCCGATCGTATCTTTTGATAGTAAAGTAGGAGAATGTAAAGAACATTAAATTTGGCGAACATCCATGGACTTATTCGATGAATATCATGGTTATGGCTTAATATCGTGGGCTCATACATTCTCGTTTTGAGGCGAGAGAGCGTGTCTTCGTGTACACGTCCTAACGCGTAGATACGCACGACTGAATGTAAATAGTATGGGACGCGCGTGCGTGGGTAGATTCTGTAAGCTATGAGTCTAATAATACCCCTTCCTATATAACAAAAGTTACTTTCTACATAAGAAATATATATATATATATATATATATATATATATATAACAATTTTTTCTTATATATATCAATAAAATTTACAATTTCTCATTGTTATAATAATGTGATTATTAGTTATAATATTTGCCAAAATAACTGTACATAGGTTCAATGTAGTCTACACCCTATTACTAGCTGCAAATCGTTCGTTATCTCGATTCAGTTATCGATTATCTGTCAGAGAAATAGCTATGTGATCATGTTCGTTTGATTTGATATTAGCACTTTAATACACAATTACATATCAATGTTCCTTTATATGCTATTATCATTATATATTGTCTGTATTATTATTGACTGATATAATTATTTATTTTTTCTTTTCTTTAAACGATAGTTAGAATTATTCAAATTGCACATACTAATTTCTTCATCAACCGATACTTATATCAAAGAGTATTGCCGACGTAAATATCAAACCCTTGATGTAAACGGCATCTCCTTTTCTCCCCCCCCCTCCCCCCCCCTCTCTCTCTCTCTCTCATCGGTCTCTTCGCATCACTAATTTCTACCTAAACTAATTGATTTGCCAATCGTTATTTCTGGACTACTTTGACGAGGTTGTTCTCTCAAACGAAGAACCTCTTTCTAAGTTCGCGCGTTGCTTGTTAAAACGTTATTAGGATAGGGAGGGAGAAAGAGAGAGAGAAAGAGAAAGAGAGAGAGAGAGAGCGAGAGAGAGAGATGGGAAGCCTTTCGTTGATAGTGCGCAGCTCGCAAAGGCGTTTCGCTCTTAATTATTATATGCGATAATTATCGCGGTCGGTGGTGGGGTAATTGCATGAGGGGTAAAATGATATATAATTTTTGTTATTAGGCAAGCGGACACGACGACGATCGTTTGATTTTGTTTGTCGGCGCATAACACTCCGCTGATGGACCATCGTTGATGGGAGCACATCAAACTATGATTTGGTATTTAGTCACCATTAGGGACGCATTAGCACTGATTACACGTGCACCTACCTACGACGTGGTGCACAACGTGCAATCACGCGTATGTACATTAACCTAGATGCGTACGAGCTCCACAGGTTCGCGCATACTCGTTCCATCTTCTCTCTCTCTCTCTCTATCTCTATCTCTATCTCTATCTCTATCTCTCTCTCTCTCTCTCACATATATATGTATATATATATATATATACACACACATAAACACAACATACACACCGCACAACACATAATGCTTGTGCCAAAGCCGTTAATCGATCGTCTACATCGATTTGTTTCTCCTTTTAAGTCCTTTTTGATAGCGTATCTCGTGTGCGCATCTTCGATTTCAATTTTTAAAGAAGCACTGCTTTTGGTACACGCTGATATCTAAAGGCTTTCCAATATCGAGCTCTTCCCTTTTCTCCGTTCCCATTTTCCGTTGCTATACAATGGTTAGGAAAAGTATCGAAGCAAACTGTTTTTGTTTTCTTTTTTTTTTGTTTTTTTTTTTTGTTTTTTTTTTGTTTTTTTTTTTTGTAACTTTACCTAAGATATAGAAAAGATTCTTTTTACTGATTTACAACGCAATATTTATAACAAATAGCATAGGGTATACTATGATTTTGTGATTACTATATTAAAACAATATAGCATCATTTTATCTATGAAAAATATTTATAAATGTCTGTAATATCATGTGGAAAACAGACAAGTATCGCATTAACGAGACATTCGTGAAATACTAAGTACTTATTGTTAGGTGAGAACTATGAGATGAATCTCGTACACGACGTGATGTATTCGATTCTCTTCTCTTCTACTTTCCTCTCTCTCTCTCTCTCTCTCTTTCTCTTTCTCTCTGCATCCCCTTCGTATTCCTTTCTTGCCCTCGGCTCTTTTTCTTCTTACAGGACGAGGGTCACGGGCCAGGACTCAACGCTATACTTACCGGGCCTCCGAGCTCATCAACTCGCAGACATTTCATTATATGAATCAGACAAGAGCACAGCATCCTGCCACCATACTCCTTCCCCATCCTTTCTCCCTCTCCTCCTTTCATATCGTCTACCTCTTTCACCTCCGTAACGCTTCTTCTTGTTCTTTGTTGAGGGAGAGAGAAAGAGAGAGAGAAAGAGAGAGGGAGAGGGAGGGAGAGACACGATCCATCTTGCGATCTCCGATAGGCCTCGACTTAATTTCTGATTGGAATTACCTCGCATGAGCACTGTATCTCTCGCGATTATTAGACTCCGATCCAAGAAGCCGTGGGACTTGGCCGACGTGTTTTTTCGCACGCAAATATCACGAATCATTCATTTCGACGTTTTTGCTTTTTGAAAATTTTATCTTTTTGTTTATTCGAACGTCGGCCTTCTTACATTTTTTCTTTTTTATTTTCGACGACAGCGAAAAATCCATTTATAACAATGAAATGTATGCAGATAATTAATCACAATGAACATTTTCTCAATTCCGATTTAAGAAACCACCCCAGATAGAAAAAGGTAGTAAGCAAAAAAATAAAGGCAGGATGATCGTGTCTCAATTTCTAATTCCGTTTATCCGCTACAAATCAATCGTTGGCAAAAGCACAATCAGGGATGGAACACAACGGCGTTCCGCTACAAATCGCCGAGCACAGCAGCGCTCGTTTTCTCTTTCCCTTCCAAACCTATCTACCTTCTTTTTCTTTTTCTTTTTCTTTTTCTTCTGCAGTCTTTCCGTTCTTTTTTCTTCTTCGAGCAAATCGTCGTCGCGTGCGGCTTCCCTTGGGTTTCGGGAAGGACCCTTTCGTGGTAGGGCGGTCTCGAATTTCCATACACGCACCGCAGACTGCCGCTTGAATATACTCACTTCCGGCAATAGATTTCCTCCTTTTGCGAGTCACACCCCGTTGACGCCACCACCCTCCTCGCCTACCCTTACTCGCCTACTTCTCTTTCCTCCCAGCATCCAATGCTCTGCTTGTAGAATGAACGAGACAGAGAGAAATAGATAGAGATAGAAGGTAAAGTTTATTGCCATGGGCAAATAGCCCAGTGTGATCAGAAAGATATAAGCGAATGCTGTTTAGTAATTCGATAATAACAGTGACAGTAATGGTAGTACCAAGAATAGTACTGATAATAAAACCAAACGTTCTAGTTGTAATAGATATATTATTTCATTTTATTAATACTTATTGTATTTATATTTTTTCAAATCATTTCATATATATATATATTCGCATTGCGTTAGTAATTATTGAAATAATGACAATTATTTCATCTATTCTTAATGAAATAAAACTAATAATCTTTATTAGTAAAGACATTGTACATTAGTATTGCATACACGAAATTTCACAGTAACTGTGTTAATTTTTGTTGCCTTACCGACAAAGCCAGAGATAAAAAGGATGAGAGTGAGGGGAACGGTGGAGATGGACGGGTGTACGAGAGGGTAGTTAGTTAGGAGAAAGAGGAGGGGTGGTTACAACGACGAGAACGCAGCAGTAGCGTACACAATCGGGTCTATTGTGTGCTGTGATTTGTGGGGACGATTTTTTGACTTCCGTTCACCCCACCCACTTTCCACTACGACCACCACCAATAGCAACACTACTACCAACTAAGGCATCATACACCTACGAGGGGAGCCGAAATCCCTCCGAGTTGGGAGATACAGCTAAATTATCGGAAGGCGACAGCGGGTTAAAGGTCGATCGTCGATTTATTTAGGAGACTACCACCCCCTCTGCATTTTGTGGTCGTAGAGGGTCGAAGAATGGTCATCTGCTTGGATTCTTGTTTAACACTTAATTTATTGTTATTTATTTGTGACTAAAGTTTTAGTAAAAAAGTAAATAAAATCAGTCATGATCCGAATAGATCTTCATATGCCTATAAATTATCAAAATAGGTAATGTATTAAATTACATATTATGATAAATGATGGTAAAGTTTATAAATTTTTAATTGTATCTCATGCGACATTCCTTCGACATTGACCACTTCACTCTATGCTTTGAATAAGTTCCTTACTTATTATACTCTCGTTGCAACCCTCTCTTTATCCTTTCTCCCTCGTTAATAAGTCGTGAAGACTTTCGCTCATTAATACAGGATACTTCGGCGAATAATTGCGAGGGTGAACGATAGCTAAGCTTGTTTCTACGCTTGTTAAGAGTGCGGTCGAAATTGCTATGGGACTTTTCATGAGTGATCGTTTGAGTTTTATGTATTGTTTAGTGGAAAAGAAATTTTTTGAACTATTAAATTTAACTCGAAATTTTAATGATTTTGATCGTACGATGAACGTTGAAATATATTCCAAGAAGATATCAAATTATAGAGTAAAATTTGTATATTATATTTTAATTTTGGCTAATGCTAAAAATTATCTGATCGCTCTTTTCGAAAAATCAAGAATTATAATTCAATTCAGTTCTCTTTTTCTGAAACACACATTTACCTGCAATTTTACCATATACAAATTTGAAAATAAACGAAACGTATGATTCTGTTGTTTGTGGCATCTATAAAGTAAATATCGTTTCCCTATTTTTTTTTTTCGCCGAAAACGATTCGACCGGAAGTGTCAGAAGCACGCAACGTACGATTTCCATGGAAACAGAAGTGGTAGTAGTATTGGCGCGCCGTTTTACGAGTCTGTTTTTCGTCTATGCTAATATACGACTATAACGATCGTAATCGTATTCCCACGAGCGAGCACCCTATCCCCACTCTTAGTTATCCTCTGGTCTCATAAGTACTCTGGAGTTTCCGAAAATGCTTCAAAGTAAGTTTCTCAGGATTTAACGAGCCCTTAGTCGACCACAATATTAATAATATTATTACCTTTCTTCTCATATTTGCCAGCTCGGATTTTATTATTAATTCCCAAATATATATATATATTCAGATGATTTATAAGATTATATTTTTCTTAGAGAGAATACAATCATAAAAATTTAATGATATTGAAATACAATCAATTTGTTAAAAATTGAAAAACAGAAGACGGATTACTCGGATACTTGAATAACATAGTACAGATTGACTCAAACATTATGTGATATATTTTAACAAAGCGTACGTAAGCCAAGGCAATTACTTTAGAGGAAATATATGTATAAATACATATATGTACGTGTACTTGCGTACAGACACACAATCGCACGTGTATGAAGCCGAGTAATCCTTTCGCTTGCAACGACTGTACTGTGAGAACCGCGTGATTTATCGAGAGCACCATGTGGTAACGGAAGAGTTTAATTGGTTGATCGGTACCACACCAACGTAACTACGTAATTTACTCGTAATGCGAATAAATTACAAAGGAATCACGATCAACGGAGAAAAAAATATTGTAACTGATTTCAAACCAATGAAAATAGAAGTTGATCGACATAATTTAAAGGGAATCTTTTTAGGATTTCAAAAAATCATACATGTATTGATTATTTTCATTTTTTTTTTTTTTTTTTTTTTTTTTTGGAAATGTACCAGTCAGAATTACCTATCATTATAAAATCCAAAAAATTAATAGCTGTATCATGATCGTCGAAAAATCCAAAAGGATATATTACCTAAATATTTCCTATGTTAATCTTCTTTACTTTCACCCAATTATTTCCGATCTCCCTTTATCCATACTTAAACAGAAAACCGCGAACTAAAACGCCGATCACGATCGAAATCGAAATCGTACGCTGAGGGCGTTAACGCTAGAAGATATCTGGCGTGGGGTCACGAATTTACGATCGTTGCGTAATTTTAGCTGCAAAAAATCACAGACACCAAGGAGAAAGGGAGTTAGATAGAGAAAGAGAGAGAGGGGAAATGTAAAAGAAAAAGATAGAAAATCAGGATGAGAGAGAGAGAGAGAGAGAGAGAGAGAGAGACGGTGGGGGGGACTAGGGAAGGTGGAGTAACGCCATGGAAAAAAATGTCAGTGACACGCACGAAAATAAAAATGATTACGTACAACCCCTACCTTTTTCAAGGCCCACTCCACGTTCCCGATGAACGTGCACTGCGTGTCCTGGAGCGTATATAGCGTTTATGCGCGGCTACAGATATTGGCCGGAGTGTAGATGAGTGTGGGCTTGTGCAGGACCGTTACCGTGATGTTTTGTAATTTAAATTAATTGAAAAATATGCACTGTGTGTGTTGTCCGATCGTACTCGTCCGCGAGAAAGAGAGAAAGAGAGAGACAGTTATACGGAATAGCAGCATCAAACGCGTTTGGTGAATCAAGAGAAAAAGAGAGCGAGAGAGAGAGAGAGACAGAGAGAGAGAGCGAAAGAGAGAGAGAGAGAGAGAGAGAGCGAAAGAGAGAGAAAGAGAGTCGTGCGTCGCCATACCACTGTGTTCCGTCCAATCATTCGCGCCAGCCTGCCAATAACTTATTGGTTTTTCACGTGCGATTTGATTCATTATCATTCCGTTATTTATATTTGTCCGGCGTGCCGCGGATTTCGAGGAGAGGAGGTGTGGCCGGGTGAGAGATGGTTTTGTATAGTTAGGTGTGCACGGCTGGTTTTTTGGAAAAGGAATGAGAAAAAAAATGTGGACACGTCGGAAACGGTAATGGAACGGGTGGTGGCGCCACCTTCAACGATGCGCATTGGTTTACCGATTTTACACGCGTCGCTCGTTTGTTATTTTTGCGTTTTCCTCCTCCCCCTCCCCCTCTTCCCCTTCTCTTTCTCTCTCTTTCTTTCTTTTTCTTTTTTCTTGTTCTTTTTCTTTTTTCACTTTTTTCCGAATTAGCGAAAACTTATTGGTTGGTATACTTATACTTATTTCACAACCCAAGTACTTGTAAATATATTTAAATTGTAACATTATTCATTTAAGATAGTTAATAATGAAAATGTTTCTTTTTCATTTATCATGATATTATTAATTGTTCGTATCGTAATGTAAATTTCATTATTATTAGATGCGAATAAAATGATGTGATGTATGATTGTATTAGCCTTTTAAAAAATGACAAAAATAATCAGATTCTTCGAATATGTGAATATTTATATTCAACGTTTGCACCAGGCTGATCGACAGGATGGAAATTCGTTTATTCGAGTTCGAATTACAAACGAGTCGCAAGAGTATCTTTATCCATCTATCTGATTTCGTGGAATCGATACTGATATCATTGCGATCCTGTTTAATACAATATGTCTGCTCTGTTTTCTTTCGAAATCAAATTTCTCTGAGCTGTATATAGAATGCCTATGAAATTATTCGCACGTATACCAACATAAATTCTTTGGGGTGAATTCGACCAAATAGAGACTTTTGATACGTATATATATATATATATATATATATATATATATATATATATATATATACCTATGTACATAGAGACATTCTCCAATTCGGTGGATAAAACGAAAGATTCGATCGCGTATTATTCTGAAATTATTGTACGTAAATATGTAAGTTCTTTGGAGGAAAGGTAAATTGGATATTGGTAAGGAGAAATCGTTTTTTCTAGGTAAAAGGGAAACAATCGATCGTATCATGAATCTTCGTAAAATCTTATTTGCCAATATTTGCGGATCAATTTCTACGAAAACTCTTTTGCTATTCTGTTATTGTATTACGTCTGTTGGAGTTCTTATGTATCCTCAGCTAGGCGAGAACTTACGAAGAAAATGAAGAACCAGAAACGAGTAAAGGAGACAAAGAGAGAGAAAGAGAGAGAGAGAGAGAGCGGGGGGGTGAAAGAGAGAAAGAGAGAGACAGAGAGAGAGAGAGAGAAAAGTTAACCCGAGAGTTTTGCTTTTAAGCGTTTATTGTTTTCGCCACGAACGCGCCGTCGCCAGCGTGTAGTTTTGTAATTTGTCGACAGAGTCGAATTACTCAAAGGGGACCATTGTTGGCTAAGGTCTCTCCCCCGATAATAGTCCTCATTCACTAAGAGATGGGACTAAGTCCTTGTACGAACCTAAATGACTTCGTGTTTTCCTTCGAATTTCTTAACAGGCCTATATTTATATACGTCAACCCAATCTCTTAGCTTAGATTCTTTTGGATTCTATGATCCGATAATTAGTCATGATATTAGATTACACGATAAATGAATAATATTATGTTTCTGTACAAACAATATGGCGATTTCTAATTTAAAATAAAGAACATTGCAATCGTTAATCAATGATTCTTCTCGAAGACCAATCGTAAGGGTTGTCGCAGTAAACAGTAGACGAAAAGACACATCCTGTTTTTTTTTTTTTCTTTTTTTTTTTTTCTTTGGTACTAGAAAGAAAACGTCCGAGCTGATATTTTTCGTTCGGGGTTAAGCTCGGCTCGCGCGTAGACAATTCTCGAAAGTCTCAGTACGACTTGTATAAGGCCGTCTCTTTCCTCGCGTGCTTCTTTAGAGAAGGCAGGATTTTAATCATTCAAGAGATTCTGTCGGCGAGCGTACCTTTAAACGGTCCAACTGAAATTCGTCCGGACGTCCAACGTCCGAATTTAAATCCTCTCAAATATTGAACGTACAACCGGTATATATATATATATATATATATATATATATACATATATATATAAGTGTATGTATGGTATGCATCTGTGTATATATGTGCGAGCGCGTACATGTATACTCGTAACTTCTTTCCTTCCCATTCCCTCCACCCCACAACACTCTCACCCTATCCCCTCTGCTGCTTCGTCTACTCATATATCTATATATATTGTGCTCTGTTTCCCCATCCGAACTGTTAAACCCACTCGACTCGAGTGAACGTGTATCTGCCTAAGCGGGTCTGCACCGGCAAAACAAATGAAAAGCGGATATAATAATGTAGAAATATTTAAAAAAAAATGAAGAGAGAGAGAGAGAGAGAGAGAGAGAAAGAGAGAAAGAGAAATAAAGGGAGATAGAGTGAAAGAGAGAGAGAGAGGGAGAAGGAGTAAGAGTAGAAACGAGCGTGGATAGCTTGGCAATGTTACCAACGTCCTCCCACTGTTTGCTGCTTTTCGTTGAAGTGGAGATTAAAAAATACGCATGTCGAGAAATGTGGAAAAGTGAAGAATTTTCATGAACGTTAGAGCACTATCATTGACGTATGTGGCGTGTGTATTAGCGTGCCTAACGACGCGCAGATAATGTTCGTACGTTTTAAAAATTTTGTTTAGCAGGAACGAATTGTTAAGGACTCTTCAACATATCGGTATACATAAACGATATGAAAGAAAATATCTTTTTAAATGTGAGATAAATACTTTTATATGTCCATTTTATAGGTAATAATTTTAATGACTTGACGTAAGTATCATCATTTTTCTTTGATAACGAGCAGACAAAGATAAAAGAAAAAGTTAAGAAAAACGAAAAAAGTAATAAAAAAAAAAAAAAAAAAAAAAAAAAAAAGAAAAAAAAAAAGAATACTTACGCAAGAACGCTCTTCTCCTCGTCCCCTCTTTTCATCTCTTTCGAGAGTGGTGGTTCACCCAACAAACACAAGTATACGTACACTCGAAGACTGTTTCACCTTCGTTACGAGGTTTATATAATATGACCGTGATGCGCCATCGTACGGACGCCCGAGCAATAACTCGGCCGGGCCTTAATTACTTTAATTAATTAGGAAACGCAGCTTCGTGGAAGTCCAATCTTATGACGCGCAACATGTATCTCTCTCTCTCTCTCTCTCTCTCTCTCTCTCGCTTTCTCTCTCTTTCCCTCTCTCTCTCTCTTTCTCTTTCTGCAAGAGATGTTCGTGTGTGAGCGTACACGCGCGCGTACTTGCTCGTAGAAGGAGGAATCCATGTGTATGTTTATGCATATGTTTCTATTTCTATACCAAAGAGAAAGTACGAAGCGAAAGCCTTAACTACTGTTTTTTGCATTGATATAAATCAATGAAATATAGATACATAGAAATAGCGTATAAGGAGAAATCAATGTAAAATAATTTTCGTTTCGAAAGGTATGAAAAATTTTTTCAAAAAATTCACTCCACGAACAAAACGTTAAATTAATATTTAAAGAAAATTAAAAATACACGTTAAGAATAATTAGATGAATTAAAATAATGACAATGACAATGAATGTATAGTTGTAATGTGCAGAAACAAGATATCTCCATTCGATAAGACAATTTTAGTAGTCATAGGTAAGAAGTATATTATCTTTCTTTATGATTTCAATCATATTTTCTATTTTAAAACATTGCTAATACGTTTATCTTGAACGACAGTGATTATTGATTCCACTTTACATTGCAGATCGACACGAAGTGTCAACTTATCCAATAACTTAATAATGACAGTGTATGCACGTATATCGTATAGATCGATCTCTATGGATTCGCGTAATAATGTAAAATATCGTTATATCAGCGGTTTAATACCTTTACGGCACGACAAGAACGTTATTAGCATCGACCACCTCGCGTCCTTTCCCTTCGTTCGCTCTTTCATCCTTCCCTACTCCGTTCACTTTCGCCTTCCTAAATTTAATTAAATTTCACGGTTTTTCGCGATTAAGGGACCAACGCCAGCAGAGCGGGCGGCTAGGGTGTTGTGCAAAATTAGTTTCGCCTCCGGGGATAATTAATTTCGTTAATTATGCCTCCTAAATCGGCGGTGTTCTCTCAACAACGTGGCTAAGCGTCTTAATCCGTAAAGAAGCTAATCAAAGTCCAATGTTTCGCGTTGTGCTCGCGAAATCCCTGAGAAATGCGCTTTTCACTAGATCCCCTATTTTCCTCAAAAGCGCATCGTTCCGTATCTGCTTTTAGAGTGTTGCTAGAAGTTAAAGAAGGTTGACTGTGTTGGCTCGATTGATTTGGATTAATTAATTAATACGCCACGTGCATACTTCTAACTTGGAAAATTATTATAATCATTATCCTTTCGATATAACTGTTTCTTATATTTTTATCTTTTTGAAAGATAATTGTTTATAATTAATATAAATATTATAATAATTAGAAGATGTATACATTTATTATCGAACTTTATCGAACATTTATTTAACACTAATATTTTACTAATATTTTTCGACATTATTATGGCATTACTGCTAATCTTAGCTAATTCAAGATAATAAATTAAGTATAGTTAATTAGAATGCATACGTGGAACAAGTCTAATTAGCTTCTCTTTAATGTATTATCCAATGATTCACGTTGCTTTCGAAATTATTAAATTATTATCGTTTCTTTTTAGCTTGCAGCTCGTACGAGATAATTAAATTAGGATAATTAGTTTGAATCTGCATATAAAGAAGAAACTGACGGTTTTCTCAAAGTAGACTAATTTTTCATGAAGGTTTTAAAATTATTTAAAGTATTTTTATTTATATTATTTTTTGTTTAGAAATGATTTGTTTTTTGTATATAGTTGATGTAAAAAGATCAAATCGTGCAGTGCACAAAATATTTATTTTCAGATTTAGAAAATATTCTTAGAAAAAAATTTTTAGATGCAATTGTTAATCACGTTAGTATATTTGCTTTATGCAGTTCGAAGAGAGAGAAAGAGAAAGAGAAAGAGAAAGAGAAAGAGAGAGAGAGAGAGAGAGAGAGAGAAAGAGAGAGAGAGAAGGAATTGTCTTTAGGCAGAATGAATTCCGTACCGTACGACCCCATATAGGTACACAGAGACGCAGATTGGTGTCTTGGTGCTGATTAGTTGGCAGCACCGTTGGGGTTTCTCTTCCCTACGGGGAAGCCCTTACGACACCGCGTACCCTCAGCCAGCAGAAGGTCTTTAAGTCCTGATTAACACGGTCTGAACTCTCTACCAATGTCATAATCCCTTTGATAAGGCCATTTTGGGAACTATTATATCGCCATAATTTGCGAGTACAGGTGTACCTACTCTCTCTTTCTTGATAAATCTAAAGGATTAATATAGTGCACGATCTCCTTTAAAACTATGCATCTACTAATCATAAATTCAGTTTTCTAAAATGAAGAATGTGGCCGTTCTCATTAGTAGTACTATTCGTAGAAATTAAGGTTTGCGGTTCGAATGTTGCGTTTGATAATATACGACTATGAAACTTCCTTTCGCACATGGAATTTGACCTATATTACATACAATATTTTGGAAAGTTTTCCTATGTATCATAGACTAAAGCATTTTGCAGAGAAAGCGAGATGCAACAGTCCATTAGATATTTGTGGATCGAGCCCTATCGAAAAGGCAGATATCTATAAAAACAAGGGGCCTCTATAGCCTCTATTCTCAGTGTGGATATTCAAGGCTACGAACTTGCTTCTTTCAAGCATATACTCAGCATATTCGTAAAATCGAGTCTTAACACCAAGCCGCGCAAGTAGTCATTTAGAGGCATACTCCGACAAAGACTCGCCTTTAGACGATCGCAATTAATTCGCGACTGGAGTAGGTGGGAGTATGAGGCTGGGGGAGGTAGAGGTAGGAGGATAGTGGGGTAGGGTGAGTTAATGGATTTCCACGCCGCCATCCGTACGGTCGTTCCCTGGAAGCTCGTCAGAGGTTCCATAATGCAGCACTGTGTGCAATTTTAAGCAACCCTTTATCCTAGCAGCCTCTTCTCTCCCCTCTACCATGAGCTCCACACGTATAAGACTCCGGTCCAATTACCTCCTTGCTACGCCGGCTGCTGCTGTTGGGAAGGGGTTGCATGATAGTTAATTACACCCCCTCTACAACCCCTGCCACTACCACTACCACCGCCAGCAGTACCACCACCATCACTACCAGCAGCAGTACCGGCACCAGCACCAACATCACCCTTTCCCTCTCTCCTTCACCGGCAGCAGGCCTCTTCTTTCTCTCTTCACTCACCCCACTCAGCTCACCATCTCTCTTTTCCTTCCCTACATTCTCCTCCTCCACCACCTCCTCTTCCTCTTCCTCTTCCTTCTTCTTCTCTTGCCGCCACTGCTAATTACTATTTTTAAAACATTAAAAGTAAAGTTTGTTAAATGAGTGGGAGTTAATTATGAAGCTACCGGGAGAGGCCGGAGGTAATTGGAGCGAACGACAAACAAAGGCTCGTACCTACGTTCTCCCAGTTGTGATGGTGGTGGTGGGAACGGACTGTACTATACCAAGGCACCTAACTACCTACCTACTTTATTTTCGCGGAGAATTTCTGATCCATTCGCCATCGTTAATCCCGACCACTCGTCGTCGTCGTCGTCGTCATCGTCGTCGTCGTCGTCGTCGTCGTCGTCGTCGTCGTCGTCGTCGTCGTCGTCGTAATCGTCGGCGTCGTCGTAGTCGTCGTACTCGTCGTAGTTGTCGTAGTCGTCGTAGTCGTAGTCGTGCGGCTCTTTCATTCGTCCTGCCAATTACGAGCTCGAGGCGAATGTCGAACCGGTTAAATTGCGAGGCTCCTCCTCAGCTCGAGGCGAGGGCTACGCGCGAATGTGTCGTCAAGTGCGACCGATGTGGCTCCCTCTCTCTCTCTCTTTCTCCCTCTTTTGTACTAAGGGTGTATACGCATGTATACATATATATTATATATACCGATGAGTATGTATGCAGCACTAGAGCCTGTCTTTCCGCGATTTTGCAGTTATTAACGAGCGCATACGCGTTCATTTAGTAATCGACGTCGACTAATATGAAAAAGGAAAAGAAAGAGAAAAATTATGTATGGATATATCTATATATCAATGAAATTCGGTTATATGTTTTGTATGTGTGCATACGCGTGTCCATGTATGTATGTGTGTGTGGAGAGAGAGAGAGAGAGAGAGAGAGAGAGAGAGAAGTTAAGAAAATAGAAAGTTGAGAACAACCATACATCTGTGTATATAATAATACTAAAAGTACGTAGATTCACGAATCGAAAGTGACATGAAAAAGGAACTCTTTCCAAAGGGGCAGAAAGGAACGGGAAAAGAGAAGAAAAGATATTTCCAGCGTCGAGTTTCATACCATTTGCATGGACTCTGTTTGCAGGAAAGGACGAGAAGAATATCTCGAGGAAATCGAATAACGCGCGTACTACACGCGAGGTTTGAGTTTTACGGTTATTAATTAACCGATACCAGATTTCTGCATTAGCACTCTGTTCCTGCTAATGCACGGTGTACAAGTGCTCGGATAATACGCGTCCTTTCTGTGGCAGACAGATGGGCTTCGTGCACACATCTGCATATAGTAGATATGCGTACACGTATATACATCGTTACGTGGAGAAAATTGTATGCGATTTCTATGACTTTACTTTCCCTCTTTTTCACGTGTGTCTACGATGTTTCTTCGCATGAAACGTTCGCTCGATCGAACTCGTATTTGTTCTTGTTGAAAATTTTCAAAGAAATTCACTTATTATTTATAACAAAATGGAATGATAAATTAAGAATTTAAATAAATGTTCAAATATAAAGATATATTATAATTATGAATAAAAATAAAAAGAATATCTTTTTAAATCTGAAATGATATATGGTTGAATATAGCGACATCAAGACAAATCGAAGCATCTGTATTTATCAGATAATGTAACTCCAAATATTGATTA